AACGCACCAGACATTGGTCAGCAATGTTGGGGTGAACTTGGCAGTTGTTGTCTATGCAGCTTCGACTGCCGTCCAGGATCCCTTTATGTGTTTCAGAAAATGGAGCCAACTAACCATGGCAGAACGACACTAAAGGATTTGGATCCTCTCCTGGTGAGTTTTGGTCAACTTGATGCAAGCTAGAGTTATCTGGGAACCTCAACTGAGAAAATGCCTCCATGAGATTGCCTGTTGGGAAGTCTGTGAACCGTTTTTCTTGATTGATGTGAGAGGGTCCAGCCTACTCTGGGCAGTACCACTTCTGGTCAGGTAATCCTAGGTTTTATAAGAAAACAAGCTGAGCAAGCCACCAGGAGCAAGCCAGTAAGCCAAGGTCCTCCATGGCTCGATGCCCAATTCCAGGTTCCTGCCTTGAGTTTCAGCCTTGGCTTCCTTCAGTGATGAACTGTGACCTGTAAGCCAAATAAACTCTTTGCTCCACAAGTTGCTTTGGGTTATAGTGTTCTATCACAGTAATAGAATCCTAACTAAGACAGGTCTCTCTAAACTAAAGGCGTATTTTGCTTAGGGTTGTGGCCATGTGGCACACACTAAGAATAAGTTCCTACCAGGAAGATCTGAGTATTTACCTGGTATTAAATAATGTCAGGGGGACATGGTGAATTTTATTTGGTGGTGAAGTAGAAAAATGACATTATTTAGGCACTCTTACCAAAATATTTAGAATTGACATGTCATAATGTCTATAACTTATTTTAAAATGTTTCAGCTGGGACATAAATGAAGTAAATATGACAAGTTATTAGCATGTTGCATTTAAGTGACAGGCATATGGGACTCATGACACCCTTTATCAGCCTGTCTGTACACTTAAAATTTCTCAAAAAATAAAAATAAATAAATAAATAAATAAATAAATAAATAAATAAATAAATAAAGCAAGCTTTTCAGTAGTTTAAAAAAATCTAGGTTGTATGGTATGAATGACATTATTTTCCTGGTAAACAGAGTTCTCAGAAGGCCTTGGGATTCTTGTCTCCAGTGCACATGCCCTATATCATTCCCTCACTTTGAGTGTAGGCAAGATCTGTGAATGGATATGCTGATGTTTACCTGCACAGTCAGATTATGGTTTAAGGCAAAGATGAAGGGCTGTGGAGATGTCATTGAGGAGCTTGGTCAGCTGGTTCTGAGCTAATCAAAAGGGATGTTGAGTATTGGAGTCTACCCTGCTCAATCAAGCCTGTCAATGGAGAGATTAGCAGTAACAAATGACTCTAAGGGCCTTGAAGAGGCAAATGGGCAGGTAGTGGAAAGTGACCCGAGGAGTGGACAGGGAACCCTGGGAAGCCAGTGCCTAATGAGGCCCACAGGCCGGCTGCCACATGGAACTGAATTCGGCACCTAGATAAAAACCCAGATGAAATTCAGGCAACACATTGATCTCAAGATTGGGAGACCAGTGAATTAGCAGATGCTTTAGCTAATTTATGCCCAGACTTTTCACTCATGGAAACTGAGCTAACTAATTAAGGCAATGAACTTTATGAAGCAACAAGACATAAATACCGGTTTCAACTAACAAGCCAATACTAGTTTGTTAGACCAGTAGCCTGGGGTGCTTTGTTAGAAGGGATGTTAATGCTAACAATGCTCCTGGAGTGAGAGGGAGAGATGTGATTGATTAGCAATGTCTGCATGGACTTAGAAGTCACAGCATATGCATCTCTTAACTACTGTTCAAGGTCCCTTATGTGTTTGAGAAAACTGGGGTTAACCAACTTAATTTTTTCCCATTGACCAAATAGGACTGAAAGTCTTGAGTCTTCAGTTGGACACTGTGCTGTGAGAAAAGCCTCACAGACAGAAGAGTGAGAAGTTATCAAGGCAGGTTTTAGCAGCTCCAACATATCAGGGTAGTTTTGTAGACTGGTGTGGGCAATAATGAGCTCCCTCAGGGCTCTCCGCTTGATGTTCTCACCCCTTCTCCCTTCACGCCTTCAGTTCAATTTCTCTAAATATGCACAGATCTTCTCTGAGTTGCTGAGATACCCAAACTGTGGCTCCGTTCTCCACTTATTTTCAGGACTGATAACACATCAAGATCTGTGACCATCCTGAAGGGATGTCAGAACTCTCGAGATGCTCATTCCTAAGAGTAAGTGTCTGTATATTTGCTTATATACAGTATAAGTATATGCCTACTGTGTACAAGTATACATACCAACATAAGTAATACCGTCGATAAGTAAACACATACTTATTTTGCTGGTAACTGCCTAACATTGAGCTTAGATGTAATGTCTACCTACATTTCATATTGAAACCGTGTGCAGATCATAGCACAGCACCCAGCAATCAGCTTCACAATCCAAACATCATCTCTGAGGTGAAGCAGGCTTCCACAACTTTTAGGGATTAAGTTGACTTTGCACCCACACTGATGAAACCATGCAAGTCCAGGCTCCCCCTTTTCCTGGTGACACCTCTGCACCCCAACAGAGGTATTGTTTCAAACCTGCAAGATCAGAGCTACTTCCCAATACACACAGAATGAAGCAAGACAAACAAACAAAAGAAAAAAAAACATAGTTCAAACAGCTAGGGATATAGATAAATGGTAGAGTACTTGCCTAACATCCACAAGGTCCTGGGTCCACTTTCACACACACACACACACACACACACACACACACACGCACGCACGCACGCACGCACGCACGCACGCACGCACGCCTCCAGTCAAAGAAGCAGTTGATCACAGGGCTGAAGGCCCAGGAAAATCACTAATGGCTTCTGCAGCTATACGAACGAAAAATAAAAGTGTTGCTGGGTGTAAAATATTTCCTTGTATGTAAATGCCGTTTAGATCCCAACCAGCCCTATTTGCTCCTAAACTAGTGGGTCACGACTGTGTATTGGACACCATCCCAAACCACTCACTCATTCATCTTGATTTTACGGTCTGCACCAAGGCCTTTTAACACACAAGGAGGACCCATCAACACGCTGTTAGGTACAAATGACAGGATGTGACAGGTCTCTAATGAGAACAACACCCCACAAATAAAACAGTTTGGTAACTGGTTGTAAACAGCCAGTCCATTTTGTACCAGACCATTAACGTCATGTTTAAATGTAGAGAATTAAATGCCAACCTTGAAATTTGAAAGCTTTTGCTTAGAAATTAATTTTTTCACTCGTATTTGAAAAGTTGTAAACTATGACAAGGTCATAATGAGGGTGAATGGTGGGCACTCCTGTGTGGACGCGTGGCGTCTGGCTTACAACGGTCTCTGTCCCTCCCCGTTATCACTTCATACTAGGGCAAAGGTCAGCTCTAAGCTATCACAGTTTCATCAGTGTCTGTCGTGACAGAGCTAAGTAGGAAGCAAATGCCTCCTTTCCCCCATGAAAGCAGACCGCTCTCTCTTCCTCACCCCCAGTCTCCAGTCTCTTGACTCTGTCACACTGGCCAACCATCTATTACTTGTTGACGATAATGGTCTTGGTGCACATTTGGACGGCTTTTACTTTCTCCGATTATTCCCACACCAACATTTTGTTTTTGGTCGTAATTCCTGCCCACTCAAAAGGAACCTTCCTGTGAGTCTGATCACCAAAGAAACACGTGATGCAGCCCTTTAAAAAACGGACTCATTGATCCTGGAATTTCACCCCCTTCCCAGTTCACTGTCTGCATTCGGACATCCCACTTTGTACTCGGCTTAACAAGCAGAAGATCAGTTCACACAACACCATGAACAACGAGTATTTTCCCATCTAGACGGAGGAGTAAAGAGGCCCCCTCCCTCCCCTGCTGGCCACTTGGCACAGGCTGTATCTGGTTACCTCTAACTGGGATGAGGCTGTGGGGAAGAAACAGGAAAGAGAGGCGGGGTGGGGCGTAGAAACTTCACCCGAAGTAGGTGCAGCAAGCTCAAGGGAGGCAGACGAGGAGGGGAAACACAGGGGGACAAGTGTGAGGAGCAAGTAGGGGTGGGGACAAAAGTGGGGGCCATTCCTCGGGGGACACTCACGGTGGAGCCGCCGCCTCCGGATCCTGTCCCTCCATGGCCTGTTTCTGATCCAATGTAGTCGCGAAGGCAACACCATGGTCCCCAAACAGCAGCCTAAGACCTCATGACCGGTCCACCAAAGGTCTCAGCGGCAATTCCAGAAGTCAGGTCCAGAGGCATAAAGATCACAAAGAACTTTTTTTAAAGCTACTCTCTCTTCTCTCCTCTGTCTGTCTGACCGTCTGTTCTCTCTCTCTCTCTCTCTCTCTCTCTCTCTCTCTCTCTCTCTCTCTCTCTCTTCCTTTTACGTCTTAGGTTTCTGTTGGCTTCCTTTATCTCTAACGTCCCTTCCCTTCCTCTAACTCCCGACCGGCCCCAAGGCGGCTGCTGGCCTGAGCAGCCTGGGGCCCAGCCTCTCTCAGCCTTCTGTACCATGTTTTATGCATGAACACTGTGGCGTGGTAATTTATTCTAGCAGCAGACCTCTGGGCTCCTCTGTCCCCTGTGCGTCACGGGAGCCAACAGTGGCTGGGGGAGGGCAGGTGTGTCTGCTGGCACGGGAATGACTTGAAATGGGAACCCTGTCTGCAGACTGCAACCACAGGCCGGCCTCGCTGCTGAGACCCTACCGCACCTCACATTCAACCACTTAATTTATTCAGTAGGGGGCTCCTAGGACCTAGAAATAGTGCCTGGCTCTCGGCAGGTGAGCAGTAAATAGTTGCTGAATAAATAGAATGATTATGTGAACTCAACTCAACGATTTTCCTGCACACACTTGAATCCTTTTAGTTACTCTTTCTTTTTAAATTTTATGTGTATGGTTGTCTGCCTTGTGACTACAGAGGCCAAAGTAGGTGCTGGATCCCCTGGAACTGGAGTTACACACAGCTGTAAGCTGCCAGGCTGGTGTGGAGAACTGAACCTGGGTCCTGGGCAAGAGCAGCCAGTGCCCTCTTAACAGCTAAGCCACGCCTCCAGACCTCCTGCACAGTTCAGCTTGATATCCTGTCTTCAAACCTGGGGGCCTGAACCTCCCCACTCTCTCTTCTCCCTGTTCTTGACTCATTTATCCATTCACACTGAAATTTGTTGTTGTGTCTGCTGTGGCTACCGGACTGACTGGGCAATGAGTCTCGGGCCTCGCATGTGCTAGGGAAGTGCTCTCACTGAGCTACCTCTCCAGCCCTCCGCTCGTGTGTGTGTGTGTGTGTGTGTGTGTGTGTGTGTGTG